ACAATAATACATTTCCATTTACCTCCTTCTCTATATCCATACAAAATATCTATCAAACAAATAAAATTAAAATTTTCTTTTGAAAAATGAAACCATTCCATCAGTATTTTCTTATGACGTTGTCACGTTCAACTATCGTCAGTAAACCGACTTTACAGACAACCGATTTTTTATTCTACACGGAGAAAATGAAAAAGGAAAATTTACCTAAATATTAAAGGGATATTTACAATCAAGGGCGGCCTTTGGGGGTGGCGAACAGGGCAACCGCCCGGGGCCTCGCTCTTGCAGGGGCCTCGCTCTTGCAGGGGCCTCGCACACTCGCGAATTGAATTTTGAATTTGAATTTCTTAATAGTCTCAAAAGAAACCGCAAATTTGCTATGTTTGTCTTTATCAATTTTTTTTAATTTTCGATAAACAATTTTAAAACTGTAAACTTATTTATAAATCACTTTGCATTTTTTAAATATCATCATTAAAATTAATTCCACAAAGGCGAGGGCCTCGCAAAGATTTACCCGCCCGGAACCTTCCAATGACTAAGGCCGCCCCTGTGTCTAGGAATTTGTACACAGATTTTCCATATGATTCCAATTATAAACCCTTCTTGCAATGAAAATAAAAATACCCAATCTTAAAAATGAAAGTTTCACAAACTCAGGGCAAACAAAAATACTTAATTCAAAACATAAATATGTAGGCATACATTTAATAAAAAATTATTTTCCGGACTTCTTCATCCTTTGGACCGTTAATTGTAAACAATTCCGGTGCTATAAAAAATAGGGCGTTTTCAGGGCCTCCTTTATATTGAAGGTCTTGAGTTTTTTAGAAAAATGGGCCTATGTCTATGAATATAACAGGTCTATTTCATTAAAACAGACAAACTGAAAAAGTGAAAAGGGAATCCCGACCGATCATCGAGTAGGTTTACTTGACTTGCGACTAACTATACAAAACTTAAAAAATATTTAGGCAAATTACTCTTGTATTAGGTAGGTAGTCTAACAGACTTTCCTTTAACACGACAATTATTGTAAATTTTTATATTTTTTTAGTTGGTATTTTGTCTTACTGTTAGCTCCTNGTTATATTTCTTTTTTATTTTTTAAGAAGATAAAATACTCGAAAAACAATTGCATATTATTTCGAAAAGCATTAATACTATTTTAATTTTTAAACTGTCGTCAGATACGCCTTATGTGAATATTTAGGTACTTAAATAACGAAAAATGAAAGAACGCCAAATTGCATACTGCCGCGAGTAACCGGATGGAATTTTTGTGCTCATTGAAAATATTTAATTAGGCGCCGCAGTCGTATAAAAAGTATTCACTTCAATTGATATCTGAAATTTTAATTGGTTAATGTATGATAATTTTAAAAATACACATCAAAATCAATGTCCACTCTTTAGCCTCTGACGCTACGTCAAAAGAATGCGTGCTAGAAATGTGTTTGGCACCAATTTTTGTATATGCGTTTGTGTTGATCAACAATCAACCGATTTTGGTGCAGTTTATAAACATTAAAAGCTTCTTTTGCAAAGATATTCTAAACTATGTTTAGTTGAGTTATATTTAACGTTCCCTACACGTCCGAACGACCCTTAGATTTTATTATAGGTGAAGATAAATAAGATAATAAGCAAAGTAATATAGTCATCATTTTATAATAATGTACATTATAATAATATATCTAGTAATATTTTACTGTTATACCTATAAAGATAAGGCAAAATATTTACCTAACATGGAAATTACACATTTCTCTGTCGGCATTTTTTTTGTCGCGCGAGAATGCATAATTTGTCGAATGTGTGGAATATGTTTTTTCAACAACGTCTACCTGAATGTATCACCTGTTTCGCTAAAAACACAAAATATTTTGGTTTAATCGTAACACCCCTCATAAGCATTTATTGGATTTTATTATTTACATATGTAGGTTGCTAGAAGTGTATGTTTGGAGCGCGGCGCTGTACGGGTACGAAACGTGAACGGTGGGCGCGGCGGAAAAGAAAAGGTTACAAGCATTCGAAATGTGGTGTTATAGGCGAATGATGAGGATACCGTGGATGGAGAAGGTTAAAAATGAAGACGTATTCGAAAGAATAGGAGAACTGATGGCTCTATGGAAGTCAAGAAGAAATAGGCGAGATAGGTTGGTAGTACACCTTCTCAGGCATGAAGGTCTAGTCAGAGACATATTAGACGGAGAAATAGGAGTTAGAAAGAGTAGAAGTAGACCAAGATTAGATTAATTTTAGGGATATGCAAAGATTAGCTCAGGATATGAAGGAGTAGAGGTCTTAGGACTGACGATCTTATGATGATAACGATATGTACAGGGTGGGCAAATTTCGACGTTTGTGTAGGACAACTCGGTAACTATAAGAAAATTAATGACGGCTTCTCGATCTTTTTTTTTGAGAAAAATTTATTAGTTTAAAAAAAAAATACAACGTGTAATTATACAACACGCTACTGAAGTGAAACTTCTTCAAACACACAAACATACCTGGATAGGGGTTAAATAATTGGTTTAATGGTATTATTTGCACACTATGTTTCGCACGGGTGTAATGCCGTTAGTAAATATACTATAGAATGTCTTTATATAAAACAATTACAGCTTTTTTGTCATTAGACAATACAAATCGGCCGGTACCGCCGCAACCGCTATGTCCCTGCATTTTAAGCCTGTAATATCTTCGAAAATATTCATTTAAATTACATGCTGTAAAGGGCCATATTGATCTATATTAAATGCACAATGTATTTAAAAGTACTTAATCGGATAAGGATTAATGCTGTATTGCTTAAAATCGCTTCGTAATTAAACCATTATTTCTCGTAAAAAGTAAAGGATAAAAAATGGTTATTGTGGGTTATCCCTAAGAGATAGACATACCATCGCGGACTTTTTTGAATTGACACATTCTATGAAATTCTGTCTTACGTTCTGATGGCTGAACTTGACCGTTTCAAAACACAATTTAAATGGAATTGCCCGTTGCAAAGCTGCATGTTGTGCCTCTTTGCAACTTTGTGAACGTATTAATATCAACCGTTTATGTTTATGAAGTATTAGCGTCAATGCGGCGATAACGCTATAAAGCAGACAAAATTTTGTTAATAATAATATTGTAAAGTTCGTGGGTTTAACAAGTTAAATTTTAAGAAGAAAACTACTTATTTACACTAATTACTATTGAACACTATAACACTATTAAATTATTACTAAACTTGGGTAATTATTCTATTAGTTTACACTACTGGTACTATTCACTGTTCTATTTATTTCACTTCTATCGCTGTCAATTTATCTCTTGATTCACTTCTACAACGGTCAATTTATTTCTACTGCTTCGGCGATCGTCTCTTCCTTTTTATACTCCCTTGCCTCCTTTCGGGAACGTTCTACAGCAGTCCAGAGAAGTCTCGTTTTCTTTGAACTGTTTAATTGCTTTCCCGGAACGCAGGTACGACACACACATTACAAATACGGCACACATGAAGAAAGGCGCCCGCGGATAGTCGGCGAATCGATAAGCCGCTCACACACACGTATGCCCGATCGCACACAATCACGCTCGTGGTCGCTACAATATTGTCCCTGTGCAAATAACTTTATTATAATTTAGGGCCTAAATCTATTTGCTGGTATTTCGTAAATATATTGATATTTTCCAAATTTTATTCCCTTATTAGATTGCTATTTTAATCTAAAAACGTCCAGGACTTTCAGCTCCCCCTTAGCCAGTTCTCCTAATAATTTCATTTTGAAAATAGTAATACAGTTAGAGCGTTTATTTAATTTGTAAAGAGTTTTATCAGTAATGTAAATTTTAAGTTAAAAGTGCAAGGTTGAAGCTAAAAAGAAGTTCCATTTGCGATTATTTTGTTGGTATTAACGATGCAAGTGTTAAATGCAAAATTTGTAACAAAAGATTCGCGGAAAAGGCCCACGACATTAGAGAGTCACCTAAAATCATTAGACTTCCGCATCCGCATCCGCTTCCGTTTCGGCTTCCGCAATAATTTACTATTTACTTCTGCTTCCGTTATGACACTTCCGTTGCATGGCTAGGTTTTGGGTCATGACCATTTGGCAAAACCGCTTCATAATCGGGGCGTCCTGATTCTCCTCAACAAACATTATACGCAATGATTTATTCCACCCATACTACAATCAGGTTTTATCATCACGAAACTGGATTATTTTATAAGAACCCACTATTTAAAAAGAATTAATTTTCGAATTAGTTTTTTATTTTACCATCGTCGGGGGCTTTTTAAATTTTTAGCTTTATTTTGTTTTCTGAAAAGATATAGCAGTGACGAGCGTAGTCACATTGACAATGGGCCGATGCTTTACATTATCACCCAGAAATCATTCCACGAGTTGGGGGTCGTCGTCGGGATATTTTCTTTATACACGTCACACAGGTGATGGCAAGGATAACTCACTCTATTCCTCAAAGGATATCGGATTTTACGTCTATGTCCACGAACTGAACAGTGTATTTACAGGTAAGAAATTACTTATAATGATTAGCACATATGCATATGGTGTGGTATGTAATTAGAGAAGTGGTAGTTCTGGTAAATTTGAAACGAATTCCTTTTTTAAATACTTAATGTATATTATAACAAAAATAATTCCGGAAAGTACCTAATTTAAATCACACTCGAAAAGGCACCATGACATTCTTCGTACATTTTTAGATTATTATATGTTCTCAAAACTTAGTAATTACCTTCCATCCTCCAATAATTTCAAAAGCGCTTATTTATGTTTAAAATATTTTATATGTTATGTCAAAAATAAAACCGAAAAGTACCAATTGAACACCGCATACAAAAACCGTTAACACCATAAGATTTTACGTACCTTTTTATGTCATTATCATTTCTCAAAGCTTATTGCATATCCTGCACCTCCCAATAATTTAACAAGTGCTTGTTTATACTTAAAATGTTTTATGTATCTTACCGAAAGTAATGCCGAAAACTACCTTTCACTGTACTGGAAATATAGGGTGGGTGTAGCATTGTATCCCATTCGAGCTGTAAAAGCTTTTGGTGAGTGACCAAACTTGTGTGAGGTCTCGCGTTGTCTTGGTGAAACACTACACCTTTCCTGTTGATTAGTTCTGACCTTTTCTGTTGAAGTGCATCATTCAGTTTGTCCAGCTGATGACAGTA